AATAGAACAATTGGGAAAGGAAGAAGCATGAAGAGGTAGCAACCGCGAGGGTGAAAGGAACTGTAGAGAAGAATACTACAGTGGCTCTTTCAAACCCGCAGCCAGATGTGTGCGTCAACGAAGAAAAGACATAATTGTACCCCCGGGCAATGTTTTATGCATAAAGGGCAATTTAGCGATCCTGGGCATTATCTCAATAACTATCCTTAGGAGGTGCACATTAGAGAAAAAAAAAAAAAAAAGAAGAAGCAAAAAGAACTTTTACTGTTCTGTAATGGAAGAGGGCGTCATGCAGTGTGGAAGTACTACTACTCCATCTAGAGCTTTCTGGAGGGCCCACCCAGAGCTGTGAACCCAGCCGACTTCTCAGGCTGCCAAGTTTTCCCCGCCTGCCGGGCAGGTTCTGCACCCGGCCTGGCGCTGCCGCCTAGGAGCTCAGGGTTGGCTTCACTCCAGTGGCTGCACCCACGAGCCCCCCGCGTCCCGCGCCCACCTGGGGACTGCACAGATAGATCTGACTGGGAGAGCGAGTGAGGGTGGCGCGTGGGAAGCTGTTTCATAATCTCCGAATCCACGGGGAAAGACCTCCCGAGCAAAGTAAAAAAAAAAAAAAAAAAAAAAAAAGCTGTCCCAGTGATAACGCGAACTCTCAGGCCAAAGAGCGAAGCTTGCATCTGCGGTTTGCGACTGACAGCTCCAAACTTCGCTGCTGCGGCTGCAAACTTGCCACCGGCTCCCTCTCACTCCTGGCGCTCCCCAGCTCCCGTGCTCACCCCCCTGGGGGTGGGGGTAGGCTCGGGCTCGCACAGCATGCCTGCCTCCCCCGCACCTTTCTGGCTCACCCGGCGGGCGCAGCCCCACATGGCCCGGCTGCCGGTCCCAGGGCGCGCCGGGCTCCCCGGGGCTCTGGGCGCGATTTTCTTGGAAAGCCTTCGAGCTCCTCCCGGGCGTGCCCTACTCACTTGTGTCTTCTTCATAAGGAAAGGCAGCGCTGCGATCCAGCCCAGGCAGCGGTGTGGCGACTCCGTTTAGCTGTTCTGGAGCTCCAGCATATTGCACGAGCAGCGGCTGCAGGTAGTCCCAGCATTGGGTAGCCCGAGCGCAGCGCCCTGTCCTTGGCCGTTGCTTTCCCGCGGCACTCCCGGTCCCAGTGACACACAGCAAACGAAGCCCGGACTGCTGCGCCGCCAGCGCTTTTTATACAGCTCCCTCGCCAGCCCGCCCGCTCCGGACACGCCTCCTTCCCTTCCGGAGCCTCAGGGAGGCGAGCAGCGCGCTGGAGGGCGGGGATCGTCCCAGAG